AAAATCTCATAATTATATTACACCTTCAGCTTCTAATTATATAAAGCAATGGAAGTTGCAGTTACTCATTATTACCTTATAATCATCAATGCTGCTCATGGCAATAAAAGGTGGGCAACTCGATGTCAAAATCAACCAGAATATGGTATACACAAAGAATTCAAATGAGTTGTTCTGTGTGTACTGAAAAATGGAAAGAACACAGTGAACAGAATGAACAAATTCAAAGTTCATTGTCTGGAATACATTTTTAAAACTTTAAGCTGAATGCACGTTATTCTGCCTTAGGTCTTTTTTGAAATTCCCAAACTCTTTCATTATCTTTCCAGTTTTGAAGCTTGAACTTTTGGCTTTATACTCAAATCTATAGATAAGGAAAGTGATCCAAAGAAAATGTATGAATGGATAACATTTGGAAAGTAATAAGAGTAAGATTTTCCTTATGATTCTAAAATTTATTCTGATGCTAAATAATAAATGATAATTCACAGTTGACACATTCGATTTCTTAATTGATCTTTAATTAGTTCAAAGGTCACAGCTTGACTCAAACATCATATTAGATGTTTTATGGGCACAGTGATAAGTTAGCTTTTTAGGTACATCTTGAGACCAGAAAAATATTGGTTAAGGATTCAAAAGTAGAGATGAAATACTACAAGGGAGAATGAAAACACCAAGGAAAACCTTTGCCCTTAGTTACACCTATTGTTACTCCTGTTTGTAACAATCTTTAAGGATAGAAGTTTCACAGACTGTCTTGAAAATCAGTCCCATGTTATTTTCATGATTCACATTGTTGGATTAAGCACATTACTGAAGAAAGTTCTAACCAGAGCCTGGTTGTCTTCAGATTGGTCATCAGAAAGACCTTTGCTAACCACAGAGTGGTGAGGTTAACGCTTATTGTCAGAATGCTTCCAGAACACTGTGAGTGCTGTGTAGGTTCAGTACTCACTGGTGAATCTGTTGACATTGGGCAGGACAGAAGCAAGGTCTGAAACTCCAGAAAACTCTTACTTTGAAGGCAAAGAGCAGGTCAATTCGAATAGAGAATAAAATGAGTTGCCAGAGATATTGGCGGAAGTTAATATATTGGGCACATAAATACGATGTCAATTGAGCTGGTTGATATTAGACTCATACTTGCTAAAAAAGGATGTCTTTATAGATGGAAGCCCAAGGAAATTTGCTCAATTATTGTATCCTGCTCTCAGAAACTAGAAGGTTGAAAAGGTCTTCACAGTCACAAAAGGTTAATTAAATGACCCATAACATATATTCTAAAATTAATTAATACTTGTTGGGTGACTAAAACCTTTTACCTTAATGATTAAGTTTCTTGCATACACTTAAT